CGCATGCCTACTTACTGCCCGTGATGCTCCAGCTGCTCAGCGGAGCATTGTGCAGGCGCTGTATGCTCTGTGTGCGTGCATGAAAGCCCCGATTGGCTCAAATAGCAGTAAGGAGAACGGGTGGGTGGCCGGGCCCTCCAGAGCACCATACCGGAATGGTACCTGGTGCTCCCAGCAGGCACAGGTATGCCCGTACCAGGGCATACCGGTTGTATCCCACCACTGAAGTAGTCCTTGATTTACAACCACAACTGGGGCCAGAATTTCTGTTGCAAAGCAAGGCAATTGTTAAATGAGTAGTGCCTGATTTTATGATCTTTTTTACTACTTTTTAAAATTGAATCCCTGTAGTTAACCGAGTTATGTGATCATTAAGCAAATCCAGCTTCCGCCATTGACTTTCCTTGTCAGAAGTGAACTGGGAAGGTGATTACATGACCCTGGATATTGCAACCATTGTAAAGACATGTTGGTTGTCAAACACCCATACTTTGAATATGTGACTGTGGGGGTGTCACAATGGTCATAAGTCCCTCTTTTTAGTGCCATTGCAATTTTGAATGGTCGCTAAATGAAAAGTTATAAATCAAGCTTTACCTATAAATGACAGCAACATCTGCATGTCCAAAGCTCAACCAATGGTAGGAATTGGGCTTGCTGTCAACAACAGCAGCAAGTTAACCCTCTAACTGCTAAACATCTGGTAGTCATATTGTAACAATATGAGCAGCAAGTAGATTGAACATAGATATAAATAGAATAACCTGGAATAACTCAATGAATAAATAAATATTGGAAATTTAAAATGAAAAGCAACTCCAAAATTGTATCAATTAATTCAGAAATAAATATAAATTATTGAGTGAGCAGTTGAAAACCAAATTATTAATGAATTAAATAGTTCAAGTTGATAGAAGTAATTATATTTAAGACAAAGGTAATAACTAAAAGGAAAGCAAAATAAAATTGGGGTACAAACTGAGTTTTCAAGATGCTTTGATAATTTGGTTTTAATATATTTGGGGATTTTGAAAAAAGTGTTATTTGTTTTGTCTCTGTTTTGTTCGGTATATTTCAACCCTATCATCACAGTGATGTAGCAAATATTGAAACTCAAGCTATCTCCTTGATAGCTCAGTTACAAAAGTTATCAAAAACTATCTGGAATATTTTGTACTATGCCTTAAAGTTGTATACAATTATAAATTATTTACATTTGTAGAAAACTTGCTAATGTTTCTCTCATTATAATTCTTTTCACTCTTGTTGAAGGAATTGGAAGAATATCTGGAATCTGGTGTTCTTTCATGGCAAATGATTCATCAATAAAAGGTGGAACCATTTATCCTGTTACCTTGAAGAAAATACTAAGATGTCAAGAAATAGCAATTAAAAATAAACTTCCATTTGTCTACTTAGTAGACAGTGGGGGAGCATTCTTGCCACTTCAGGTAAAACAATAATATAACAAATAAGTTATAATACAATGCTATATTATTGTATATAATACTGCATACACTTAGGCATATAAGGCTTATAGGATGGGTAGGTGTATAAGCCTATCTGTCACATTTTTAACCAAAGTACTGTGAAAAATGTGCCACCTTCAATAAGCCATTTCTCCAATTTTTATTTGTTTTAATTTCCACAATTGGTCTATCTCCGGGTAATTCACAGATTATCCATTTCTCACAGTATTTTGGTTAAAAATTTGAAGGCCATCTCATATGAGCATCTCATTCATATATGTGAGTATATGCAGGATATACAGGTACAGGAAGCCTTTAAAATAAATAAGAATAGGAGCATGCAAGTTGCAGTTATAAGTCTTAACCATAG